GCGCTTCCCTGGGCCAGCGGTGCTTGTGCGGTGTGGCCTCAGACCCAGCTTGAGCACCAGCTGCCATGTCTGAGCTCTGTGACCTCAAAGCACACACGCCCCTGGGCCTCAGCCTTTCCCATCTGCAGAGTGGGCCTGACGGTCATCATGGCCACTTCACTGGACTGTCAGGCAGACTGAGTGAGGCCAGGCACGCAGAGYACTTGGTACTGTGGCCAGCACAGGCTAAATGCTCAGTATGGAGTTGACATTTGTCCTAGCAAGGCCTTGGGTGGAGGCAGAACAGGCAAAGCTGCAAAAGAATAGGGTCCCAAAAGCTGGCAAAGCGCAGGTCAGTCAGGCTGAGGGCCGGACAGCAGCATGGCAGGCGTGAGCTGGAGGGACCACACTGCGGAGCCCTGGAGGCCCAGCGCGGGCTTCTCGTCCTCGGCCCTGGTGACATTTGGTGCCAGACGCATCTTTGTTGCAGGGGCTCTGCACAGCGTCTGTTTAGCAGCAGTCCTGGCCTCTACCCGCTAGAGACCAGGGCAGCTTTCCGTGGTGACCATCGAAAATGTCTCCAGACATTGCCAGCTGTCCCCTGAGCCAAGATTGCCCTCCGTTGAGAAGCCCTACTCGGGCAGGCAGAGCGTGGCCAGTACGTCTGTTCCCCGAGGTCTGGAGGAAGCCAGGGGTGCAGAGCACCTGTCCTGGCGGAGATGGGTGGTGCGTGCACGCGGCAGAGCGAGCGCCAGGGGGCCAGCTGGGGGAGGCCTGGCAGCAGGTGCCGGCAGGCGTGGGGCAGGGCTCGGACCCCAGCTGCTGGGAGCCCATCCGTCAGCCAGGGTCAGAGCGCAGCTCGAGTGACAGTGAACCAGGAGCACTCTGTGCCTCCTCCTAGCCCTGCCCAGGACCAGGACTGGATTCGAGATGGCAGGGCTGAGCAGGCTGTGCCTTCCACCCTTGGGGACCTTGTGACCTCCGTTCGGGAGAACACAGGCTTCCAGGTTCAAATCCAGGTTCTCCCCCATGGAAACTAAGCCTGAAAATTAAATTTAAAAATTTAGAAAAACAGGTGCTGCCTAAGGTAAGCACCGCCCTGGGGCCGCTTAACCTCAAGGCTCGGGTTCCTGGGTGTGGAGCCGGAGCAGCCTCGCCAACCTCACCTGGCTGCTGCAGGGGCTGATGCGATGTCACAGTCACCTCACCTAGCGCCCCGCCTGCCACAGAGCAGGCACGCCGTAAAGGTGGAGTGAAGGAAGGCAGGATGGATGAATGCATGAATGACTTTCTCCCCCAATCCTCACATTCATTTCTCTCCTCTGGAAACTTGATTTCTCAGCAAGAGGAAATGAGCTCTTCATCTCTGGAGTCCCAGAGGTCAGCATTGAGCCTGGGAGAAAACAGCAGGTGATGAGCCAGGCCTGGTGACACAGGCCTGTGACCCCAGGGACTCAGGAGGCTGAGGCAGGAGGATTGCGAGTTCAAAGCCAGCCTCAGCAACTTAGGCCCTAAGCAACTCTGTGAGACCCTGTCTCTAATTAAAATATAAAGATAGGCTGGGATGTGGCTCAGGGGTTAAGCACCCCTGGGTTCAATCCCTGGAAGACAGCAGGTGCTTAAACAATGGCGGTTTCCTTCCTCCAGGGCAGTGACTTTGCATTGTTCAGTTTATGAAACCGTAGCCCAGCGCAGTGAGTGACACACAGTAGGCCTTCCTACCGTGGAGATGAATGAGTCAATGGATGCACAAAAGGGGCTAAAATAGAGGCACACTCTGAATGCCATCACCACCCCCACTTTCTCACAGGGCCCTGGCTGGCGTGTCCATTTKGGGGAAAACATGGCTACCATGCTTGTAGGAGGCAGCTCCAGCCCTGGAAGCTGAGGCAGCAGGGGACAGACCTGGGGAAGAAGGTCTCAGATGGGAAGTCGCCATAGTGGGTGGCTGCTGTGGACCCTTCTCCAGAATCCTGCTGCGGGTCACTCGACCCACCCTGGAGAGCTGGGACAGGCTGCCAGGAAGAGGCTCCCGCGCCCAGCAGCGGGTGTACAGTGGCGTGGACGTATGTCCTCCTTCCCTCAGGATGTGGTGACCTGGGCAGGATCCCCTCCACAGGCCTCAGGACACAGCGTGCTTTGTTAGGTGTAACCCCTGCTGGGGACATGGGACATCATCCCACAGCCACACAAGGCCACTGACCTTCGTGGCTTCTCTTCCCTTATCTGCACAGTGGAGCCTCGATGACGCCCGGGGCGACTCTATCCCTTGATCCCCTCCAAAGTGATGGTCCCRTCAGTAGTCAGGTGACTGAACCTGGCCACATGGCCTGCATGGGAGTCCAACCAGTGAGAAGAAGGCACAGCTAGACTTTGCAAAGCCACTGGCTCCCTGGCCACCTCAGAGCTGCCGGGAGCTGCCCACAGCACCAGATGAAGTATCAGCTTTGAAATCCAGGGGTCCCCACCCCGGACCTGGTTGGTGAGAGCTGGCCAGACCAGGACAGTAGCTGGTTTTCCCAAGGAGGGCCCAACCACTTTCCCGAAGGACCCATGGAATGGTCCATCTYACCCTGGACGGGGGAAACCTCGGAGATGGAGAAAGCTTTCTTTGGGGGCCCTTGAGTCCCTTTCCCTTCCAATGACACAGTGTCAGCACATAGGGACTTTTCTCCTTACCAGGGACTGAACTCAGGGGCCCCCAACCACTGAGCCACATCCCCAGCCCTATTTTCTATTTTATTTAGAGGCAGGGTCTCACTGAGTTGCTTAGCACCTCGCCATTGCTGAGGCTGGCTTTGAACTCRGGATCCTTCTGCCTCAGTCTCCCCAGCCGCTGGGATTACAGGTGTACGTGACTGTACCTGGCAGCTTTTCTCCTTTCTGAAGTCCCTGTAAATGACAGGTAGGGACAATGGTAGCCTGGAAAATTTGGCAAAGCAATTCCTCCCTTGCTTAAGACAAAGGAACCACAGGAGATGAGAGGGTTGAGCCTGGACGGAGGAGCAGAGGGGACATGACGGGCGTCCCAGGGAGAGGTTTGGGAGGATGTGGGTCTGAGGCAACTGTCTTGTGTTTTGAGTGACAGGCGTAGAGAAGGGCACATCGCCGTGGGTTGGGGCGCTCCTCCAGGTACTAGCTGCTTGGCCAGGGGAGCTCCTCACTTTTTCCTTGCCCCACTTTCTTGATCTGCAACCCTGGGGACAATAGAATCTGCTTCGCAATGGAAAACACTCAGCATTGTTCCTGGCACCTAGGGAGGACCTTAGAAGTCCGTGCAGGGCTGATGCTAGGGGTGATAGAGAAACCCTAGAAGTCCCTGGTACAATGGCCATCCCTGGGGTGCTCTCCGGGAACCCGCCCAGCGCCCACTCCTGTGTTAGCTCCCTRTGCAGTGGAGATGCTAATGACAGGCAGGGCCCTGGCCAGTGTCACTGGGAACTTCCCCAGAACTTGCTGCGCTCGAGCGCAGGTCACGTCAGGTCTGGCGGGTGCAGAACATCTGCCCTCCATGTGGCTGAACCATCCAGAGATTGCCACAGGCTGCTTCTCAGGCCGGAGACACATCCCCCAGCCGGAGGCATGGACTCCCCAGCTGGGCCGCCCTCTGGCAGACTGTACCCAGGGGGTATTTTTTCAGATTCTGGGTGATATTCCCCTGCCCCTCAGCCTAATCAGTCCCAGATGTGCCCCTCTCCCCGCTCCCGTCCCACGCTGCTGCTGCTGCTGCTGCTGCTGCTGCGTATCCGGGGCTTCCTGGCCCTGTCGCTGCACCTCTTGACATTTTTTTTTTTTGCTTTGTTTTTAATTCAAAATACTTTGTCCGCCTTCACATGACGACTTGATAGAGGCCAACGTGAGAGAGGCTGCTTCCTCTAGCTGGGACCAGGACAGAGAATCTGGCAGACAGAGASAGGGACACTGGCGCTGGGAATCCGAGGAGCAAGGGAAACGCGGGGAGTCTTTATTGGCTGAGCATAAAAGCAGCTCAGGAGCCGCAGCTGAGTGCCTGTGGCCCCGTCTCCAGGGGCTGGGAAGCCAGTGGCGTTCTGTGCCTCACCTCCCCCGAGGCGCCCTGTCTTTTTGGTTTTTTTTTCATTTAAAATGGTTTATTTGGACACTTTTCTTAGGGCACCTATGTTCACACATTGTGCTGTAAGTTGACCCATTCTAGAACCTTCTTGGAAGTTGGAATTCAGGCTTTTCCGTTACACATTTTGCTTGCCTCTGGTCACTTGGGAAAAGGCTGTCTGTAGTCACTGAGGGTCCTTATCTTAAGGCACCTTCCATTCTCTACCTTCTTTGCTCTGGGGCCCCCACTCCCTTGGCTGTCTCCTTAAAACACTTGACTGTGATTCTTGCCAATCATGAGACAGGGCTGRGCCGGAGGGAGAGGGAACCCAGGGAGGAGGGGAAGAGAGGCCTGCGTGGACAGCTGGGCTGGGGGCCCAGAGGTGGGTGGCAGGAAAGCAGCAGCGGGCGGCAGACCCAGGAGGGGTCAGGACGCCTGACTCACCACCGCACAGAAATCAGGCCTGCCAGATAGACATCAGGCGGGGATCTGAAGGAGAACGACCGAGAGGCGGCCCCKCCCTGCCCCTTCCTGCTTGTTTTCCACTGCGTGTGGCACGCTGTCATTCCGGATCTCTTTGGATGTCATTTTGACCTTTCTCAGTGTGTCTTGGTGCCCACATCCCGCGCTGTGGAAAGCAACCTGGACCGTGAGCACAAGCAGGTCCCGGGGAGCCCATGTTGTGGGGTGAGAAACCGAGGCCTGGGGACCACTGTCAGGTGCCCTGCAGGACTGAGCCTGGGTCCCAGACCTCAGCGTTTCCCATCCAATCATGAAAACGTGGAGATGAGATAAAGGGGGAAAAAATCAGGGTGGCAAAAGTGAGCCAGGAAAATGCCACCTCCCAAGACCAGGTGGAAACGCCTCCCCAGCTCAAGAATTCCTGGAGGGCGACAGACCTCCTGTGGGCAGYGGCACTGACCGGCTTCTCTCTCTGTCTCTCTTTCAGGACCTCCTGTAAGTACTCACTCGGCGGCCAGCTCTCGCACACCTGAAAGTCTGTGTCATCTACCGGTAACAGGGTCTCAGGGGGGACACAGGCGGCTGTCTTCCGGGGGCCTCCTGTGCTTCTGCGAGGCCTTCTAGAAGGTTCCATGGGGATGGAGGCCGCTAGTTCGCTTTCCACACATCTCTGTGCTCCTGTAGGGCTAGACAGTGGCGGCCCCAGGGGCAAACCAGGCCCTAGTTTCATGCCCAAAGTCTGGCTTGGCCCTCTTTAGACCAGCTCCTTTGTCCTTCAAAGAAGCAACTGGAGACCAAAAAGCAGCAGGTACTAGAAAGAAGGAAGAGCCCGCCCTGATCCTTCTGTCCATGAAGAAAGCAGGTCAGGGGCGGCTCCAGGTGGGGGCTGCTCTGGAGCACTCAGCGTCCACGCCCCCGAGCAGGCAGCTCCATTCTGGCCAAGTCACTTGGGGCAGGCAGAGCTGGTGGCCATCTGAATGAGAGCAGTGTCCGCAATCAGCTGGGGAAATGACACATAAGTTAGAGGCACCAAGTGGCTCCTCTTCCCAGGCTCCACTCCCAGGGTGGGCAGGGGATCTGGGTCATTTCCAAAGAACCCGAGAAGAGCCCAAGGAGACCGTCTTCCCGTCTCCCCGAGGTAATAGATCCAGGGAGCGGGAGCACGTGTCCTTTGAGCAACAGCATTTGATATCTCAACAAGAGACTCAGAGGGCGCTGGGGGCGCCGAGGGGGGTTGGAGCTGAAAGGCTTCAGCCCCCGCAGCAGACCTCTCCCAAGGTGACTGAAATCTCCCCGTCACCGTCCATGGCTGGGAGAAATCATTTCCAGAGTTGTTTTCCTCGTGATCTGTACCCGTGAGAGCAGCCTGCCTGATTTTTAATGAGACCGTTATTTATATAATATTTCATCCATGCCCTGAAACGCCCTCAGACCCAGGCTGGGGATCCTGTCTGGTCGGATCCCCTGTCTGGCAGATCCCAGGGAAAGAGGAAAATCAAGTCTTTCCTTGAAAGGAGGAGGGCTGGTTTACCACAGCGTGTTGGGCTGTCAGGCTGCAATTCCGACCATCCATCTTCTAAAATAAACCACCAGATCTCTGGAGGGAACGTCCAGAGATCACCTGCTGGAGCTGGGACGCTGGGCTCCTTGTCCCCCTGCTGGAGCCTCCTCCAGGACCAGCCCACTAGGACTCACCAGGGACATCATCGGAGTCCCTGCCTGGCTGGAGGATCCTTTTCTCAATCGCAATTTAGCATTTTGAGAGTTTGTGCCTGCCTCACCCGGAAGTTGTTCCCAGCCAGAGTGGACACTGCCATTCTGGGGTCTGCAGTGAAGTGGGTCTCTGCTTCAGTCTTGGCCCACCTGTCCGCCAGCCGGGGAGTCAGGTAGCTCCTCCCACCAGAGGCGCCCTGAACCTCTGCCCMAACCACAAGGCAGGAGGAGGAGGGAGCAGGAAGCTGGCCAAGGGGGCGGTCACCTCCTCAACCCTGTTCTCTCCACTTCCTGCAAAAGAAGGACGCTAGTGGCCAGAGGTGAGTGCTGACCGGATGCCTGTCCACTGCCCTCCGGGTGTATCTCAGGGCTGGCTTTGTCCYCCGATGGGAAGACTCAGCTTCCAGTGGACGCCAGGGCTATCCATAACCATGGAGGATGGGTTGATGTTGCAGCCCCCCCTCCTGCCCAAGGCAGACATTGCTAATCAATGTAGCCAGTTACTCCCCATCCATCTGAGCCAGAGCCCCCGCTGACGTGGGCTGTCCCTGGGTTAGATGGGAAGATGTGCTTAATACTGGGAACTGAAAGCCTGAGTCAGATGCCCATGGGAATGTCAGCTGCCAGGCGARGTGAGCATGACCCTTGTCACTCACTGCTTGTGAGGTGCTCTCAGGTCGGCATGCGGACTGTGTGGCCCAGTGACTAGGAGCACAGCTCTGGAGCCCACTCTCCAATCCTGTCACTGCCACTCCTTGCTCTGACTTGACAAGTTATTTAATATCTCTGTGCCTTAGTTTCCTCATGTATAAAATGGGAATCRTCATGGTTTCGGACTATTGTGAGGAGTATGTATTCACATGAACATTACATACATGTATATATTTTCTTCCATTTAGAGAATGTTAATTCATTTGGTCCTAGACTCAGAGCTTCCTGAGATGATTCCCYAAAAGGTCTTTAATTTTAAGGAGGAGATTGTTATTCTGTGAATTKTTATTGATTTATTATTTCATTTGTTTCTATCCTCCCTCATTCTGAGGAGGAGGTTTATAAACTAGTCAAGCAAACAGAGAGCAGAGGCAGGAAGACTTGGTTTTGAGCTCCCTGGTGGTCAGAGCAAAGAGGAGGGCAGTTTGGGGGAGACTTGGGGGACAGTGAAGTAGGGATGTGCCTGTGGTTTGGGAAGCACAGCTTTTCCTGGTCCTGGGCCTGACATGGGACCCCCTGTGTGTTCTCATGAGGGTCCCGCCACCTGGATGACCCGGTTGTACCTACCAGGGGCTGTGACGGAAGCATCCATTTGTTCCTCATTAGACCCTCTGCGTGAGGTTGGGACCCCCACAGGCCGGTCCGTTCCCGCCCCACCTCCTGTCCCACTGGGTGGTGTTCGGGGAGGGGCTGGTCAGAAGGGAAGGGCCTGGGCTCCTTGCTGTGGTGTGAGGAGGGGCCCGTGCTGTCTTTCCTGGGGTCTGGACAACTGGAGGCTGGGCCACCAGGTTCGTTCATTCACAAATGACCAGGAGCTCAAGCCTCCTCAGGCCCATTCCCGTAAGAAACAGGGCTCCCCCAGGCCAGGAGCAGGGGGCACAGAGGGATGGGGTGAGTCCTGCCCCTTCACCCAACGTCTCCCCGTCATCGAGAGTCACTGCACCATCGCTAAGGGACAGGGGACAGAACCCTGCTGCTGCCTGCGTTTACCTCTGCAGTTACTCAGGGACACCCGGGCCCACCCCCGTTCTGCCTCAGGTCTCTGGGAAGAGCAGGGTATCTGGAAGGAGAGACACTGTACCCAGGGGAACCCAGGCCAGCGCCATGCCCTCCCCCACCTGTCCCTTTCCCTCCTACCCCAGTGGTAACAGCCTGGTGTCCTCCTGCTTGCTCTCTGCCAGCCCCAAGCTCTGCGCACCACACACAAGATCTCATTTAATCCCAAAAGATAGGTAATGAGTGCTCTCCCATTTTCAAGGAAACAGAAACACAAAGAAACCAGTCTGCTTAAGGTCCCTTGCTTGCTTTAAGGTCACTCCACCAGGGAGTGGCAGAGCCAAGATTTGAGCTCAGRTGGGCTGAGCACCTGCTCCTTACCCATCTGCCTTACRGAGATGCCTCCACCTGTCCTTTACCCCAGAGCGGGGGGCCAGCTGCTCATGAGCCCCAGGAGTCTCCCCAATCCTGCAAGGTGCTCCCGGGTACCCCAGGAGGCAGCCAGCAGGACAGCTTCTCAGCCACCCTCTTGGATGCATCGGGGAGTTGGCACCCCATGGTGAACAGACAGGCTTCCTGGGTTTCGGCTGGTTCTTAAACTGCTCCCTCTGCACGTGGCTGTGAAGAGAACCACGGTGATGGATGGTGGGGTTCATGACTGTTCCCTTTTCCAGGGCATTTCCCATCCATTTTGTGGAGTCTTCTCCTGTGCCCACAGTTGTGCCAGGCAGAACTGCTAGGGTTGTGAACCACGTGTTCCAGAAACAGAGCTGTGATCCGTGAACACAGGTGGCCGGAGCCTCTGAGGCCCCCATGTGCCAAGGGCCAGCCCCCCCACCTCCCACCTGACACTGACCTGCCGTGGGATGGGTGGTTGACTCTGGTCAGAGCCGTCACAGGAAGAACCACTGCTTCCCAGGATCCTCTGGGGGTGCTCCCCCTGTACCTCCATGACCATGAGCCATGGGCTGAGAGGTGACAGGTCCTCCAGGAGCTTCCCAGTGGGTGACAGGTGCTCCCCTGCTTGGTGGGCAGGGAAGACCAATCCCCAATGCTCACCCCCACCTCCTCCTGGACCAAGGCCAGCACCCATGCGTGGTGCAGCAGACGTTGCCCCAAGCGAGGCAGAGGGCTGAGAGAGCAGACATGCTCGTGGGACCCACAATCCTAATGGTCCTAAGTCTCGACGAAGGATGTTCTTGTCTCCCTGTTCCCTGTTCCCACCCCTGGGCCTGGGCACRCCGGAGCCCCTGGCCACCTGGTTTTCTGAATGTCAGAGCTGAAAGGAAGCCTGCCCACCAAGGCCTCCCTGTTCATAAGAGGACAGCTCGACGCAGGCGACTGCCGGGTGGTGTCGCTGGCCGTAGCAGCGCTGCCTGGTCGCTCTTCCCATTCCCTGATCCACGCCAACCTCACTCTCCACTCCTTTATTTCAGGGCCCCACCGGAAGACCCGGGCTCCCAGTAAGTAACGCATCCTTTGTTTATACCTCTGTGTTGACTTTGCGGGGCTGGCCCAGGACCTCGTGCTCCACCACTGAGCTGAGCCACGCTGCCGACCTGGCCTTGCCCTCTCTCGGCCTGAGGCTGGCCGCGCTGGGCAGCTGGCTCCCCTCCAGTGTCTCTGAGTGAGAGGCCCCTCTGGAGTCTCCTGTCTGCCACTCCCAGCCCCTCCACCTTGGAGCCTGGGTAAAATCTGGAGCCTGCAGCTACTGCTAGGGCTTGGGTGTCCCTCCTGGGGCATCAGGCAGGTGGACCATGGCAGCAGACCCTCCCGATGCTGGAATTCATCTCTACGGAGGGTCCTGTAATGAGGGCTGAGAGGGCTGGCGAGCTCCTGGTGCCCTAGGACCCCTGCTCACTAGTTGACACCAACTACTGTTCCCTCCTTCATCCATGCCTCTGGTAAAAGAGCAAACTCAAAAACTTGGTTTTTCCCCCTGTTTTTATTTCTGAATTCTAGAGAGGTTGTGCCAAGGAATCATGGGGACTTTGAGATAAAAGCAGAAATAATACTAATAGCCACTTCCTACTGAAACGTTAATAGGTGCCCCCTATGCTAATCATTCTTCAGAATTGGCTTGTTCAACAGCTCAGCACAATGGGTATGCTTGTGCCCATTTTAGGGGTGAGGAAATTGAGACTCGGAGAGGTCAAATACATTGTCCACCCACCCACACTTCAGTGGTGGACTGGTTGAGGCGCACATTCTCACATCCCGTTCCATACCGCTGTTCCCTGTGGTCCGTGGTCCTGAGACCCACCTTAAAAGTCGTCTAGTCATGGCTATGGAGTCAGGCCTGCATGGGGGAGAGGAGTCCTGGGAACCGACACTGCGGGCCCTTGGCTGGGGCGGGGCTCAGGCAAGATGCTGTAGCCGGCCAGAGAGCTGAGGTGGGGCACGGAGGGGGACGTGGGACAGCTCTGCCCTGTCCCTCTGCCACATCCACTGGGTTCCACACTGTTCTGTGGGTCCCTCCTACTCCCCCTTTAGACATAAATTAGACTTTGGCCGTTTGACTAATCCAACAGCTTCTAGAATCCATGCCCAGCACTGGCTTTCTTAATGAAATGCATGTGGAAGAATGTTTAGCCTTGAAAACAGAAATTCTCCCTGTAAGGAAGAGCCACGGAGCCGCGGAGGACGGTGAATCGGTCCTGTGAAATCCAAGGAGGGGAAAAATCAGATGACCCAGGAGAGCGTGGGCAGGCTTTTTTTTTTTCTTACAACATCCACCTTTAAAAAGCATTTAGGGGCGATCCACTCAGAGCAGGGCCTGCTGCACAGCTCCCCGGCTCTGGCCCTTCCATGCCGGCCCCAACCTGAGCGTTTTATGGCCAGGACTGCAAAGAACATTAGTTTAAAAAAAAGAATCCAAAACACACATCCTGAAAGATCATCCAAAGCCCCAAAGCAAGTGGACCATGGGGATGTCACAGCCAACTGCCAGCTCTGGCCTGGCCACCTCAGCAGGASGAGCAGATCTCACATCCATGGGTCAAGCCCTGTTAGTGCTACCACGTGAAGGGAGCTGGGAGTGACCCACGTGAAGATTTGCTGATGCTGGCGCCTCTGTGGAAAGGAAAAGGCGTGAAGCACAACCCCTTGCCCACGGCCGTGCTGGGCTGAACACTAGCAGATGCGATTTGTCCAGCACTGACCAAGTGCCAGGCATCAGGCGGAAGCTTCCCAGAGATGTCGCTTCTAGGATCCTCCCAGCAACCCACCAGAAACAGACTCTTGTAATCTCCATTCAACCCACTGATGCCAAGGGAGGTTAAGGAAACAGTCGGTGCTCATGACTTGCACTGCTACCTCGGCATTCTTGAGCAAATGTAGAACACCGCTGGTCTTGACGACATCCTGTCATCAGGAGCCTAATTCCACCACCGACTGCTATTCTCTAGTGTGTCTCACGTATGCCTTGGGATGCCAATGGTCTCTGGGGACATTTTGCCTCCTTGGGGTCAGCAGATGCACYGTCACCCCAGAACACACCTGCACATTCCGGAGCACAGTTCTCTCCCGCCCACCGGCCAGATAAACGTGATCCTATTTTCTACACCTCATTACTCCCCATCCTTCCAGGCCCCACCCCGACTTTATGATGTCTGCATGCGCATGATGGCAAAAAAATATTTTCTACCCAAAGAGAGAGAAACAAAACTTAATAAGCAGATTTCCAGAGCAAGAAGATGTAACCCCTGGCTCCGAAGCAAAGCAGCTCCCTCTGCGCATCTGAAGCTCGTGATGCGGCTGAATCCACAGGGCTCACGTCTGTCCTGCCTGTGCTGGAGGTGGCCGTGGGGAGGCAGGGGGAGGACTCCACCCATGGGCAGAGGGACTGGGAGGAGTGGCGGAGCATGGCGCTGCTCCTCACTCTGGCTCACAGACCTAGGAAAGTGGTTCACCGTCTGGGTCACGGGAGCTGCCCGTGCCATCCAGGCAGGCTGTACCCCAAACCAGGTGCACAGATAGCCTGTGGGTCACCCTGGCGGGTCCCAGCCCCAACTGATTATTTATGCCTCCTTCATTAGGGGGACAAAGGTGCCATTGGGATGCCTGGACGTGTGGTGAGTTGGCCCATTTGAACCTGCTGGGGGGGGGGCCATTGCTTGCTTCTCCATGCTGGCCTGTCCTCCAAACCATGGCAAGATGCTGCCCACCCCAAGCCCAGAGAAAGGGGCACCTTCAGGGAGGGACAGGGAAAGAGAAGGGAAGAAATTGTATTCCAGTCTTCAGACCTCAAAATAGGGTTTTGCAGAAGTTCACCTCATCCACAGTCTCTGTGGTCAACCGTGGTCCAAAAATATTGCTCTGCATAATAAGGTATTTTGAAGCCAGGCCTGATGGCATAGGCCTGTCATCCCAACAACTTGGCAGGCTGAGGCAGGAGAATTGCAAGTTTGAGACTGGCCTGGGTGACTCAGTGAGACCTTGTCTCAAAATAAAAGAAATAAAAAGGGCTGGGCGTAGTGGCGCACGCCTGTGATCCCAGCAGCTCGGGAGGCTGAGGCAGGGGGATCACAAATTTAAAGCCAGCCTCAGCAAAAGTGAGGTACTGAGCAACACAGTGAGACCCTGTCTCTAAATAAAATACAAAATAGGGCTGGRGATGTGGCTCAGTGGTAATGCCCCCGAGTTCAATCCCCAGTACCCACAAAAAAACAAAAATATTAAAAAATAAAAAGGACTGGAGAATGTAGCTCAGTGGTAAAGCACCTCTGGGTTCAATTCTCAGTATTAAAATAATAAKAAGAAGAATATATTTTGAGAGACCACATTTACATAACTTTAAAAAATATATTGCTGTAATTTTTCTATTTTATTCTATTTATTGTTAATATTTTACTGTGCCTAATTCATAAGTTAAACTTTATCATAGGTATGTATATGTATGTATGTATTTTTTTAAAAAACTGTATATACAGGACCCGTTACAATCTAATGTTTCCAGTGTCCACTGGGGGTCTTGGAATATGTCCCCTTTGGATAAGCTGAGCCCCACAAAAAGCTGACACAGCAAGAGAAAAAAATCCAAGAAATTTGCACCAACAAAGCTCTTTGCAGATCACCTCCTGGGTGATGGGGTGAGGCCGAGCCTCTGCATTGGGAGGCCTCGAGGCTGGCAGCTCCCCGTCAGCTGTTCCTGCCACCACCCCCCCCCCATAGGCCCACAGTGTCCAGAGGGGTCTTGTGGACCTGGAGACTCAAAGACAGGGAAGCCAAGGCCTGCTGCCAGGCGGTGCCTCCAGGTCCTCACCAGGGCGTGAAAATACTTAGTGTCTCCCGCTGAGAAATGAAGACAGAAAAGGAGATGAAAATGGATAAAAGGGAGAGTGTTGTCCAGAAATGGAAAGGCTGGCACCAGGCCCCGAGGTCCTGGCACCAGGGTTTTTTCCTGGCAGCCTCACCATGCTGGTCTCCAGGGGGCCAGCAAGGCTGCAGCCCGAGGAGGCAGTGGCCACACACCAGCCTCACCGCCACACGGCCTGGTCCAGGACATGGCCAAGGTCGCGCCCCCCTGATCCCTGACTTCCCCCAGCCCTGGCCTCCACCTCCAGCCTGGCTCCCCGGGCACCTCCCCTCCCCCACCATCCCCCTCCCCCCCATGCCGTTCCTGGCTTGGCCTCTGAACCTCACCTCCTGGGCTGGGATGGCCTGGGGCATGGCTGTGGCATCCTGGTGTGGATTTGCATGCCTGGTGTGAGCATGGGAGACGGCCCAGCTAGCCCCTGCCAGCGCTGACTCCATGCTGGGCCCTGTGCCAGGGCTTCACACGCATTATGAGCTCACTCAGTCCTTCCTCACGAGAACTGCAGGAGGTAGCCATCACTTCCAACCCCGTTTTTCAGACGAGAAAACTGAGGCCTAGAAGTACAATGTCTTTCTCAAGGTCACACAGTCAGGAAGTGGCCGAGCAGGGACTTGAACCCGGACAACCAGACTCCAAATTTGTGCTCCTGACCCTGGCAATGCACCCACCGTACCACAGCTCTCCAGAGGGTCTGGTCCTGGGGCCGAAGCCCCCAAGGCCTGAGACATTCCAGAGACAAGTGTTCTGTACCACAAAGCTTTGAGTTCCCCAGGGCCCCCCAAGCCTGTCTGTCAAGGAATGGGCATTGGTAGCCCTGGGCCCCCTAGAAGCTCTCCCACTTAGTCCACACCAGAACACCCAAGCAGCCCCTGGGCCCTGAACAGAGCAGGGAACAGTACCCTGCATCCTCTCCTGGGCTTGCTGGGTAGGGGCTCTCCCTGCGGGCAGGGGCTGGCCTGGAGAGGAGGCTGCAAAACACAAAGTGGCACCCCCTGCCTCCTGCCCCCACCCTTCCTGCCCTCCTCCTTGGGCCCTGTTGCCATCTGCCCACCCTCCCCCCAGGAAGTGCCCCTCTGAGTCTATCTTGACCCACAGCAGTGGGGAGAGGTGGGGAGCCACAGGAGGTCTCCCACTTCCTTCTGGCCAAGGCTACTTTCAAGACACTTTGGGGCTTCACACTGCCTGTGCTATTTTAAATGTGGCAATGGGCCCATTTGGCTGCCCGCTAGGGGTCCTGGCAGGAGCCTCCTGATAAGAACAGCTTGTGAAATTCCTGGGTCATTACCATGTGTCACCAGAGGGGGCACCATTGGCTCACTGGGAGGAGGGTGGATGGGACTAGCCATCCACCGGGCACCACGTTCCAGGGGACCCTTGGCCCACCACCCAGCTTTCTCTGCATGCTGACCTGCCCTCCAGGTGTGCAGACATGTGCATCCACCCATGTCCCTCTGCCTCCCCCCACACCTGGCCTGGGCAACCCTAACGGCTCTGGGCTTGTCTAGCCTGGCAGAGCTTTGTACTTGGTCCCCAGCGGGGCCTTCAAAGCTCCTAGAGTCCACCACAGCCTCACCTCCCCCTCCCATGGACTTAGCCAGCTGGGTCATGGCTTCTTGGACACACCTACTGACCTACATGGGTCTTGAGTTCTCTCTCTCATGCGCACAAGCGCGCACACACGCACAGACACTCATGCACATCCCTGGAGAGGGCCTCCTGAAGCCCCAGCCACTGTTCCCGGGTGGTTGGAGCAGCCGGCCAGGCCTGGAGCAGGGCTAGGCCGAGCTTCCACATGCGTTGCTTCTTGGCCGGGGGATCTGTCGCGTGTCAGCGTCTGTGTTTTGCTGTTTTCTATTTCACGGTGATTTCCTCCATTTGCTTGCTGTGCTGTGGACATGCATTCTTGGTCGGTGCCTGTCTCTCACCCTCTGGCTTTTTCTCTCCCTCCCCCTCTTCCCTGCATCCTGTGTCACCTGTGGCTGTCCCAGGGAGTGAAGGGCCAACCGGGCGAGAAGGTGAGTCCACACTTTCCCCGTCCGCCCCACCCACCCTTCTGGTTCCAGCAAGACTCTTGGTGGCCGGGAAGGAGTCCCCCGCAGCACCCCCATCCCAGCCTCCCCTGCCACGCCCAGGCGGGCAGAGCGTGCGACAGGCCTGTCCCAACTGCCAGCTTCCTGACAGCTTCCACACCCTCAAGCCTGAGCCTTGGGGTTCCTGGGCCGCCCCCCAGCCCTCCTGGAGGAGTGGGTCTCCCCTGCCCTGCCTTCGTGACTTCATGGGGCCTCATAGCTCTGGGTCATTACCATGCCAGGCTGTCACTCTTCCCCTAGGCAAGGAGGCCAGCTCATTGCTGTTGAGTGGCTGGAAATGCCCAGGGGGCCCCAGAACCTAGAGAGGAGCCCCTGGGAAGCCAGAGCCCAGCAGCCCGGCCCTGGTGAGCTCTTGAGAGACTTCAGAACACAAGCTATCGAAGCAGCTCACGTGACAGGAGGACACTGAAGCCCAGAGAAGGGCGGGGACTGCCCAAGGTCCCACAGCAATAGTGAGGAGCAGGATCTAGAAGCCAAACCTCCGGGCGCCTAGCTCAGCACTCCCAGGATGGCACAGGAAGTATTTCCCCAGCAGAGTCTCCCAAAATAACAACAATGGCAATGATAAATAACAGCAGCATCGCGTATGCAGCATGAGTCCCGTCAGGCCCTGTTTTAAGTATGTCTGTCACTGACGTAACCCTTCCAGGGAAGTTTCATATTCCTGTGTTCCTGGGGACAGGGAGGCAAAGTCACACACCCAAATCACCCAGCTGGAAGGTGTCAGAGCTGGAGAGGAACCCAGCATGCCCGTCCCCAGGCCGTGCAGTCCTCCAAAGGCAGGAGACTGTTGGTCACACCCCGGCCGGGGGTGGAACCCCCAGGAGAAAGGCCCAGGCCCGGATGTGCTGAGCACCCTGCAGCATCAGGCTGTGATGTTTTCACCTGCACCCAGTGGGACGGTGCTGTCACTCCTGCTGCAAACCAGCTCACCCCAGGTCACCCAGCTGGGATCAGGAGCAGAGCAGGCCTTCAAACCCAAGCACCCTGGCTTTTACCACTGCTCCACTACGTCCTGTAAAACTCACAGTGTCATTGTCATGGCAAAAACACCGGCGAATCTGAAGTCATCCTCACTGTGCGGGAGACGAGACATTGGACAAAAAGCATTTCTGCCCCTCCCTGAAGGGCTGCCCGTGCCCTCAACGTCGCCCCTCACGCTCAGCCACCCCTGTCAGCGCTTGGCGCTCCTAACCCAGCACCCTCCATCCTGCAGAGCTAAAGGTTGTGCTCCAGCCTTCAAGCCCCAGGGTGGCCTCCAACCAGACCTAGAAACTCCAGGCCACCTCCACCTGTCAGTCCCAGGCTGTGGGCCCACACTGTGTGTCTGTGTCCCCATCCCCCGTCCCACAAACCCACGCTGAGGGACCGTCTCCGTCCACCAGTTGCAAGGTCTGCAGCCAGACAGGTGTTTGGGGACGGACAGGGAGGAAGACCTGGGGGCTCAGGAACATGGTAAAGCCTGGGGGCCTGGACAGCCTTAGCTGAGCCTGCCCCTTCCCTGTCACTGCCTGTCCCCTCCCTCTGTCCCCCACACCTCACGTTCTTGCCCACATGGCTTTTCTGCTGCTTCCTGCTGCTCTTCTCAACTCATCCGGGACATTCCATTCACCTGTTTTGTGCTCCCCAATTCCCTGTCCTCTACACTCTGGCCTCCCCCACCCATTCCCTTGTCCTCCACACCCTGGCCTCCTTCTGGCCCGTGGGGTCCCCCCAGCCCCACCTGCCAGCACCCCCTTTAGTCTCCTCTGCCCTCTCCTCTGCCCCCGCCCCACGCTCCCTCTCCCCTCCTCCTTCCCCACAGGGTGCCCCTGGAGACTCCGGGATGTCCATCATCGGTCCCCGCGGCCCCCCCGTAAGTTGTCGCTCTTTGGGGGGCATGGAGGGTGGGGAGGGTTGTGGAAAGGGCTTGGAGGGGGGCCAGGGGAAGGCGAGGCTTGGCCGTGTCCCTGGGCGCGTCAACCACATGTGATGCGGTCAGTCCTGCCGGCCACAGAACTGCTGTTGATGTTAAAGAAAGTGACCTCACTAAATGTCCCTCAATGACAGCCTTGGAGAGGGCTGGGAGGCCGGGCCTTTAGCCACGAGCCCCGGCAGCTGTGAGGCGGCCCCTCTGTTTACAAGCAGAAGGAAAAGTGCGGCTCCCTGGGTGGGTGCGACAGCCTCCCGGGAACAAGACTGCTGTGTTTCCAAAAGCCAAGTTCAAGGTCGTGGACCAGCTCGCGCTCCTGGTCTTGGAGGGCCCTCGCCCACCACTCGCCCTCCAAGGCGCCTTTCCCCAGCAGCGCTGGCTCCTGCAAGTCCCCTAGCCGTGACTCTGCAGAGCTGGGGAAAACCAGTGTGGCTTCCCTGAGACGTGCTTCCCTGGGGACTGTGACAGGCACGTGGGCGACGGAGCCGGCGGATAGTGTTCCCAGAGCACCCACCCACGGGGCTGCGAGAAAAACACCAACTTGTGATGGATGTCGTGGGGTCACGGGTCCCCAGATGTGTTTAGCACCGTCCTCTCAAAAGGGGACAGTGAGGCCCAGGGAAGGGAAGGGGCTTGGGTCCCAGGCTTTCAGGCAGCGGCAGACTCGGGTCACACGCGTTGTCTTCCTGACCTCTTGCGCACAGAGAGGGGGTCAGGAACAACCAACAGAGGGTGAAGCCCTGCCCGCCCTTGGTCCTGCCTTCAACAAAGAGCAGAGCAGGAGCCTCCCACCTGGGGTGGGGGAGAAGGGTCAGGAAACAAGGCGCCAGGTTGCGTCCAAGGTAGGAGCCGCCAGGAGCTTGAAGACCCAGGATGAGACATGCTAAGTGCTGGGGGCTGAGAGGCAGAGCCAGTCAGAGCTGCTGGAGACCCCAGGGGGAAGAGCAGGAGCAGAAGGATGAGCAGGGTCCTGGGCCGGGGCAGCATTTGAATAGACCTGAATGAGGGACTTGTCCTTATCAACAAGCTTTCTTCTGGACTCCGCCTGCACAATAATGGTGAGGACAGACACCAGTCTGTGGCAGTTAGTATCCTGAGACTTCCACACCTATTAACTCACTTAACCCTCCCACGAGAACCTCAAGAGGTAAGAACTGTTTTTACCTCCACTTTACAGATAAGAAAACCAGGGCACAGAGAGGTTGAGTGACTTACATAAAGTCACACGGCTAGACAGTGGCCACACTGGGAGTGATCAGCCAGCCATGTCAGTGTGACTCCTAAGTGAGTGCACTAAACCTGCTATTGTAATGGCCTGGTCAGACGGCCGTGTCACCGTCACTCCTGGCTCACGTGGCTGCTGCTCTGATGTGCCTTCTTATGTCCTGGGAGAGCCACAGTGCAGATGCCCGGAGCCCAGCTGTGTGATAGGAGGGTCACAGAGAAAGACAGTCCCCTGGTTCTGGCATGGAGATGGAGCCTAGGGTGGGCCTGACGGTGGGACAGGGGAATAACACAGAACAGGCCCACCCTGCCTACCTCCTGTGGTGACCACACAGGTTCTGCTGCGTGGCTTAGGTAGATCATCTGATGCCTGTTCAGCAAACCTGACAGCTCTCTTAAAGTCTCTGCCGAGGCTGCCCTTCTGCAGCACGTGCCCTGTGCTGTCTGTAGCTGGGCCCAGCAGGCAGGAGGCCCCTGGGGAATAAACCACCACTGGGGTTGAATCTGTGGTGAGAAGCGCCTTCTGCTAGGATGACAGTGGTGATGTCTGTCTCCTGGGCACCGGCCACACACGGGTTCTCCTTCAGGTCTCTGGCACAGCAGCCCCACCAGCCCAGTTTCCAGAAGGAAGCAGCTCACACTCACCCAGGCGTACCCGCCTGCGAGGGCTGGAGCCAGGGTCTGGCCAGGCCGGCCTCACTCCTACGCTGCGCTTCCCCCAAGTGCCCCTTCTGTCTTGAGGTGCTAATGGACGTACAGGACCTTTACCTTCAGGAGAAACCGTTGTTCCTGTGGGCACCCAAGTTGGCACTGGGAAAGGTTTTCTGGCCCCAGGAGTCCTGGCCAAGCCCAGGGTCCTTCAACTCTGGCCCATGTGGGTGACCGTGACCAGGATGGCTTGGCCACCCTAGCCCAGGGGCCGCCCTCCTAGCTCCTACTGCTGTCCTGGGCTGGGGAGAGCGGGGAAGGGGAGGCAGAGGGTCTGCTGGTCATGAGGACAGAGGTCAAGGGGCAAGTCCCAGGCGGCAGCCGGGAGTGATGGGAACATGTGGCTCTCGGCTCAGCCAGGAAGGGCCCAGAATGGATGCTGCTGATCAGAAGCCGCCCGGCCGCCCTCGGGGCTGCCTGCCTGCTCTCCTGGAGCTTGATAAACAGCTAAGCAAAGGGGGGCCGCCGAGCCCTTCAGGGAAGGGTCATTCTCGTTCCAGTCAGGCAAGTGGCCGGGACAGCACCTGGGCAGGTGGCTCCGAGAGCCCGTGACCATGGGGCCGGACCCTGAGCTGCCGGGCAGGTCATCTGCAAGTTAGGGGACACCCCATCTCACAGGGCTCCTGAGCCCCGCAGCTGCTCTTCAGAGGCCAAGGGGAACCTGAACTTCTCTTGTCCACAGGGAGCTGCCCCACGCCCCCGAGCTGAGCTGCTCTGTTAGGATCTAGGTGCCAGGGGGACAATGGGACGTGCCCCTCCAGGCCCTCAGTGCTGTGAGAGCCCAGCGGTTCCAACAAGCAGTGCTAAGGGAATGGTCAGGGAACAGGGGGCACATGGAGGGGGCCCTGGGCCTGGGCTGGGGGGACAAGGAAGGCTTCTGGAAGGACAGGGAACCCACCTGTCTCCAGGACTTCGCAGGCTGCCCAGGTGGGGAGCGGGGGAGGGTGCCGAGCCTCGACCTGGAGAAGCACCCGGAGCCTGAGGAGAGAGAAGGCCTTCGGGGGACACCCCAGGGGGGAGGCCAGCAGGGCCTGGTCACAAGGAGCCCCACATAACGTTCAGGAGCGAGAGCTGTGTCCCCAGGGTGGTGGGGAGCCCTCGGCTTGGGGGACGCCGACTAGGGACACGATCCCACGTGCAGTTCCAGGCCCTCCCTGCTCCTCCCTGCTCCTCCCTGCTCCGGAGGGAGCTGTTCAGAGGCTGCGTCTGGGGACTGGAAGGCGCCACAGTCACCAACGCCTGGCCTGGAGCCGAGCCAGTGGCCCTGGAGGGGTGGACCAAAGGGACATTTCAGAGGTGGACTTGAGGAGTGTTGTGATGGTCAAGGAGACTTGAGGGGAAGCAGGCACCTGGGGGCTCACGCTGCTGACCTGAGAGGCAGCATCCGGCCATGTGCTTCCTTCCCAGGAGCAGGACTTGCCAGGGGGATGAGTCTGGGGTGTCCTCAGGAGGCTGGGGAGGGGCACCGGGCACTGGCTGCGGGAGGCTCGGGGTGCAGGGTGCTGTGCCAGAGCCCCTCCTCCATCTGTGGACCTCCTGCCAGTGGGGTTTGGCGACCTCCCATTGATAGCTCAAATTGGCCACCGTGGGAGAGTCTGTCCACAGGCTTCGGCAAAGGCCAGGCAAGCAGGGTGCTCCTCTCCCGCCCACCAGCCCCATCGGGGATCCAATGGTTCCCAGGCTCCACGAGGTGGTCGCTTGGCTCCGACTTGGAGGCAAGCCCCAAGCAGATACAGGACTGAGCCTCTTTGGGACATCAAATAGGAGAGGAAGGGGACTCCCCAGTAGGCTCTTGCCAGACAGAACTTTCCATCTGGGTTGCTTTGCCCCACACAAGTTGCAGGTGGGAGAAAGACCAGGAGCATTAGCAGAGGGGTCCGCCTTCAGCAGGCGAGGGAGGCCCCCTGAACTCCCTTTCTGCCCCAGCCTTGAATCAGGGGGGAGATGGCAGAGACCTGGGGAAAGCCGCTGTCCCTCCTCCTGGTGTGGAAGGAGATGACRCTAATGCACAGACTCCTCTGCCAGCAAATCTGTCATCCACCATTTAATGCACTCCTCGTCCCTGTGAACTTTTTATGGGGTGGGACGTCCAGTAAAATATTGAGATTCGTTCAGAAAAAAGTTAGCTTGTAAGAATGTCAGGAACCCTCTGGGAAGTGGGGAGAGGGGTCGGGAGGAGATATCAACATATACCATAAAAGCAGAGCGATCCCAGTGAGCAATGGAGAGGACAGGAGGGCGAGCCCAGAAGGCGGACACGGGCAGGGATTTGGTACCTGAGAGGCTTGGTTTCAGAGCAGGGAGRGAAGGAAGGTGTGCAGGAAACGGTCTGGGGCCGCTGGCAGTCTGCTCGGGAAAAAGTGAACTGAAATAGTTTTGCTTAGCTGAATCCCTGTCCCACTCATTATATCAGGACAGATTCCCAATGAATAAGATATTTAGGTGTAAACGTAAACCACAGAATGAGAGGACAAAGCATGAGTGAATGTCTTATAGATCTGAAGTGGGGGAGACCCTTTCAAAACATGGCATTAAACCCAGAGTCAGGCTGAGGCTATGGCTCAGTGGCAGAGCGCTTGCCTAGCATGTGTGAGGCCCTGGGTTTGATCCTCAGCACCACGTAAAATTAAATAAAATACAGGCATTCTGTCCACCTACAACTACCAAAAAAAAAAAATTTAAACCCCGAAGCCACAAGTAAACATTCATGTTTTGGGTTATGGAGAAAAATATGCCATAAGCAAAGTCCAACACAAAAGCAAGTTAGAAAGTATTTTCAACACATCTGACGACTAAAGAGTTAACATTCTTATGGGTATGGTGGCACACAACTGTGATCCCAGTGGCTGGGGAGGCTGAGGCAAGAGAATCTCAAATTCAAGGCCAGCCTCAGTAACTTAGCAAGGCCCTAAGCAACTTGGTGAGACTCTGTCTCAAAACTACAGAAGTGCTGGGGATGCGGCTCAGTGGTTAAGCACCGCTGGGTTCAATCCCCAGTACAGAAAAAAAAAAAAAAATGCGGCTCAGTGGTTAAGCACCGCTGGGTTCAATCCCCAGTACAGAAAAAAAAAAAAAAGTTAATATTCTTGATAAAGAGCTTTGACAAAGAGTAAAAGGTAAACCACCCAGTAAAAAAAAAAAAAAAAAAAAAAAAAAAAACTATTAAAACCTGGTGCTGTGGTTTGTACCTATCATCCCAGCTACTCAAGAGGCTGAGGCAGGAGGACAGCTTAAACCCAGGAGTTCAAGGCCAGCCTGGGCAACATAGCAAGATCCTACCTAAAAATGTATGTATGCGATGAATACAAACAGGTAGCTCACTGACCTGAAAAGGGCTGGCCAATGAGATGGCTGGCATGGTGGCACCCACTTGGGAGGCTGAGGCAGGAGGATGCCAAGTTCAAGGCCAGTCTGGGCAACTTAGTGAGACCCTGTCTCAAAATTAAAGAAAAAAAAAAAAAGAGCGGGGGATCTCAGGGTGTGGCTCAACATATGCAAAGCACTGGGTTCAGTCCCCNACAGAAAAAAAAAAAAAAAGTTAATATTCTTGATAAAGAGCTTTGACAAAGAGTAAAAGGTAAACCACCCAGTAAAAAAAAAAAAAAAAACTATTAAAACCTGGTGCTGTGGTTTGTACCTGTCATTCCAGCTACTCAAGAGGCTGAGGCAGGAGGACAGCTTAAACCCAGGAGTTCAAGGCCAGCCTGGGCAACTTAGTGAGACCCTGTCTCAAAATTAAAGAAAAAAAAAAAAGAGCGGGGGATCTCAGGGTGTGGCTCAACATATGCAAAGCACTGGGTTCAGTCCCCGGTACCCCCCCCAAAAAAAAATTGAAATGAATGTCTCCGTTTAGCATATAATTGAGAAGATATAAATTAAAATTCAGTTCCAAGTCTCCCTAAGTGCCTTTCCCAGGCCCAACATCTCTGGGAAGTGGAGTCCCAGTTTCCATTTGGTCGAAGACAGCATTCCTACCCAAATCCCTGGAAAAGGCCTGGTCAGCCCTGGCCCTGGCCCTGGGCTGGAGAGCTCCGTCCTGCTACCAGGGCCGGCTCTGTCATTAGTAAACCGTGTGATTATCCCGACCACGTAAACATCAGCCAGAAGGAGCCTTGAAGAGGTTTCTTGGAAGCGCCTCCCCCTGACCTTTCCTGGGGCCTCTCCCACATGGGGAATGGTTTACACTGCGAGGCTTCGGGATGGCATGGCTGGGTTTCCGGGGTTTCTCCCTGGGGCTATTCTTAGCATCATTGATCTTTGAGAGGAGAGAAGCCCAGGGCCCTTCTGACACACAAGTGGCATCTCCTCCCCCTTGTCCTCCGGGTGCCTGCCACAAGTCCACCCTGAGCCCCAGCTGGCTCTGGGCTGGACCCTCACGCCCACCCTGACGTGGCGGGGTCCCCATCCCACCCAGCCAGGTGGCCTCCGTGTTCCCGGAGCAGAGGTCTCTGGACSCTCTGGAGGATCCAGGCAGCTGGGGGACAGTTCAGGGTCACAGCAGAGGAATCCAGAGAGGTCTCCCTCTGGGTTGATTCTGGAACCACCTGACTAGGACTGACCTGCCCTGAAACCAAGGCACGCTGTGCTCCAAGGCAACCTTGCTTGATTCTGACACCTTCTCTGTTCAAGTCGATTCCACCAACATCGGTCGTCACAGCTACCATTTTGATTTCCAAACATCCTGGAATGTCTTTCGGTGGCTCTGAGGTCCTACTGTCATCTCCGTTCTACAGACAGGCAACTAAGGCTCAGAGAGGTCGGACGCTTGCTCAGAGTCCCACAGCGGTGGTGGGTGGGGCAGGGTTAGAACTCCGTCTCCCACACTCCAAAGCCCATTCCTGGGAAGGACTGTGACCATCGAAGCCAAGGGCAACCCCAAGCGGAGAGCGGGACATGTGTGTTCTGGGAAAGGCAAGTGAGCGGGCTGCCTGGGGCAGGAGAGGAGACTGACACGGTCCATCTGGCAGAGAGCGAGGACCACCTGGAACGAGGAGGCGGAGCCCTGGTGGCTCTTGAGAAGGGACGGGAGGGGATTCCCGTTGTTTAGCTCTGGTGATCGTCAACCTTCTGGTGGCCTCCAGCCCAGCGTCCTCAGAGCCTCGTGCTGCTTCTGTCCTGCATCTTGACCACAGACCGCTGGGCTCTGACCACTGAGCAGGACTGCCCTCTGGGCCCACTCTGCACTCCCAGGGAAACGGGCAGGGATTTCCAGGAGGGCCATCCCGGGGATGCTGGGAGAAGCCCGCAGGCCAGGGTGAGCGGAGAGCCAGCAGCTGACCTGTTCTAGCTGAGACACACAGCCCAGAGGTCAGGGCATCTGCTGAGACTCAAGCCATCCCCGATAAGTGGCCAGGAGCCAGGGCTGTCCATGCAGAGCAGGCGGAGGAGGCGTCTGATCTGGGAGCTGAGGGGACCACTGACCGAGTCCCTGCTATCTTGCTGGCCCATCCCACCGCAGTGAGGAACGGTCCAGGGGCCCCCTCTGGGAAGCAGGCCCAGGCTGCAGGCCCTCGTCTTCCTCTCCCCGTCCCTATCCTTCATGGGTTTCCTAGGAAGATCCATCTCCCTTGTTCTCTGCCCTGTCCTCCCTGCAGCTGACCCATGTGGTGACTGTGTCCCACACGGGCACCGAGGGATGGGCACCCGCTGAGCCGGGGGAGCCGGCCTGCCCTCCCCTGCTGGCCCCCCCTCATGYGTCCTGTTCTTTCCAGGGCCAGCCAGGCACGCGAGGCTTTCCTGGATTCCCGGTGAGTGACGGGGCTGAGGGGCCGGCGGGGCGGGGGCTCTGGCTGGGTTAAACCCGTCCACTGAGGTCGCCCGACGCTGCCCTTTCCCTTCCAGACCCTGGCCATTAGGACCCGCCTCGGCTGCCTTTCCCAGACACTGGCMGGGGGAGTAGCTCGGAGTTTGGCTCCTAGTGGGAAAAGGGACAGGAACGTAGATACGTACGCAAATAAAGGGGCAGGAGGGAAGTCGGAAGCTGGAAACCCCAGCAGGACCCTGGACCTGGACAGGGAAGCACCCTGACAGGAGGCCCACCAGGGTGGCCCTGTGGTGCCCTTGACTGCTGCCCAGGGGGCCCGAGGCAGGTTTTGAGAGGCAGGACCAGGGAGCAGCAAGTGCCCTTTTCCTGGGGYTCTCTGCTGAGCCACGCCTGGTGTCCACTCTCTACTTGGGGTAAGAAGTCTTGGGTATCAGTGACAAAGTCACCCATTGAATCCCACTGGCAGGCAGCACCCATTCCCTTTGGGGAAAGTGCTGTTCTTCTTGTTCCCCTCTTAGGATGGGACAGGAGGCCTGGGCTTACTGACGGTCACAGAACCAGCAAGGGGTCAGCAGGGCTGGGCCTGCGACTCGACAGGAGCAGAGGCTTCACGCCCACCCGTTGCACCGGGCTGGCCCCTGGCAGGAGGCCTGGGGTGCTCCGTCTTTACAACTGTCTTTTTCTGCTTTCAGGGTCCCATTGGGCTGGACGGCAAGCCGGTAAGTGGGCCCGCTCAGGCTGGGGCTTCCTCCCCGCCCACGGGGGTCCAGCTCACTAACCCTGGGTCTCGGTCCCCCTGCCAGACCCTGACTCTTCGGAAATTTCTGGCTGGAAGTGGGGCTGGTGGAGGGGGAGGAGGGGCTATTCCAATGAGCACCCCCACCCAGTGGCTTCCCCAGAGCACAGGCCCTGTGGCCACGGTGGCCACCCCCAGAATGTGGGGACTCGGGGGTGCCTGGAAGGGGCCTGAGCGAGGCAAGAGGCAGCAGGATGGAGGAGTGGACAGGTCCACAGTCTAATCCTGAAAGGCCGGCCACCATCAGGCCCTGGCCCCGGCCCCCGCACCAGCAAGGAGCTCACGCAGAATTGCAGTCTCCCTCCCCAGCCAAGGCCCCCCAACTTAGGATGGGAATCCGGCCACTCGCCCTGTAGGCCAGCAAGCACGTGCAGCCTGGAGACCCCAGTGGTCATGTCTACTCACCCCCAGGACCAGACACCCCACAGCCAGAGACCAGCCCCACCCCTGCCCCCCTGAAGAGCAGGCAGTTGCTAGTAAGGCCCAGAGAAGGCCAGGTGGGAATGACCTTGCTGGTGGACTSGGTGGCCCCGCCAGCGATGGAGTGACCAGATGAGACAGGAAAGAAGCCGGCAAYGTGTTGAGGATGGGCAGCCGCCTGGGGGGAGTGGGGATGGGGAGGCGTCTACGTGGCAAACGGTGTAGCTGCCACTCACTCCTCCCTTCTCCTTCCAGGGCCATCCCGGACCAAAAGGGGACACGGTAAGACCCCAGCTCTCTTGCCTTCTGAGATGGGTTGGAGGGTCAGCCTGGGCTCACTGCCCAGAAAAGGGACTGTGCTAGTGGCTGCCCCTCACAGGTGACCCAGCCGTGCACACCCAAGGCCCTGATCCTCATGGGGTGCTGGGGGGCAGGCAGGCGAGGGCTCTGCCACACAAAACAAGAGCCACCCAGGGGGCGGCAGGGGGCAGGGCAGTCAGTACCTCATTCCACATTCCCCAGCTGCACCCATGGCTCTTGAAGACAAGCCGACATGGGCACCCCCATGGCAGCTCTCCTTGGAGTGGCCAGGGACATTTGTACTTAGCCTGTTTCCCCTCTCCCACTGTGGACATTTGTACTTAGCCTGATTCCCCTATCCCACTGCAGGCATCTGTACTTAGCCTGAATCCCCTCTCTTATTGCAGACATTTGTACTTAGCCTGATTCCCCTCTCCCACTGCAGACATTTGTACTTAGCCTGATTCCCCTCTCCCACTGCAGGCATTTGTACTTAGCCTGATTCCCCTCTCCTACTGCAGACATTTGTACTT